GGACTGCTGACGCGGGGGCGAACACTGTCGGCGAGGCGGACCCAACAGAATCCTCGGACTCGGACTCCGAGACTCCTTCTTCACCCTCACTCTCCTCAGGCTCTGGCTCTGGTGCAGGATCTGGAGGGAGATCTCCTCGCGCTTGATCTGGATCAGTGACGACAGTTTGAGGGAGACGGGAGCTAGGGGAGACAGGGCGAGAGTGCCGCGAGGCTGATCGAGATGCAAGGGTGCTTCGGGGTCCGAGCGGGTGTTGCGCTCGTCGGATCGCTTTGTAGCGTGGGTAGTCCTCCGGGATTGATCGGGGGGTTCGGTTCGGGCACGGCTGCTGTTCGCAATGGTAGATGATAGTCTCAGGGCCGTCTGGGATGTAGACGTTGATAAGGTCCTGAGAGTCGAATGCGTGAACTTGGCCTTGGCAGGCAGCCACGTTGGATGGGGGGAGGAAGGGGAGGTGCGCGTACTACAAAAGGCCGTGGTAGACTAGCTTACACCTACGGCGCCCAAGATGACACTGAGATTCGCAGTTCACGTAGGGCCCAATACTGCTTTTGACTATTATGCAGCAGGAACCAAGGCTACGCGTCCATGAGGACAAGTACCGCTCACTGAAGCGCAGGTACTGAAGAGTTCGTTTCTCTAGTGTTGGCGATATATAGTAGGCTATCTACGTATCATAAGGTATCGTGAGGGTGCGCACCACCCGACCTATAGGAGAGGAAGTGAGTGTGTGGGTTCCCAAAGAACGCCGGCAGCAGTGAGGAGTTTCGACCTAATGTCACGACTTAGGGTCGAGCGACAGGGGAAACACAGACTTTGAAGGATGCTGGGGGCGTTCGACTGGATCTTACCCAAGCGATGGTGAGCAAGGCTCAAACCTAAGGCTAGGGACAAGTAAATGTATTAGTTAGTAGGGTAAGAAAGTGATACAAAGGGATGCTTACTGACCTAGGGACAAGAGGTTGAAACTGAGGTCCCTAGGGCAGCAGAGGCCGGCTTATATACAGGGGATGTTTAGGGGAGGCTGTGCGCGTTGGTCCGTGCGCAGCTGGTCCGTGCACAGCATGCCGACGCGGCCCCGGGGGCCGGTGAGTCAGAGCGGCTGTGTCAGCGGAGCCCGAGCTGTGCCGTGCACTGCCGTCCCATCTAATCTAATTGTACAGTAGATAACGTCGTGTCCATATCAGGTAAGTAGTACAGAGGTCGCGGGTTCGAGCCCGCGAAAAGGAAAAAATTAAAAAACAGCTAGACGCCGTACCAACTTGTGACAGCCAGGCCTGTCGGCCTGAGCTGAACAACTTCTTCTCGGCTTGAGAACAAGGGCGCGGCGGGGCACGTGGTGGTGCACCCTCGACGCATGCCGCTTCGGCCAGCATCAATGCGGCCATTGGAAAAGGAGACTTCCCCGGCACATGCTTTGGCTGTGGGAAGCAAGGGTACTGACACTTCGAGTGCCCCAATTGTAAGGACAAGCCTTACACAAAACGCGCCGACACGCAGGCTACGGTTGCCTCGGGTTCCACCCAGGCCGCGACAAGCACCTCCGTCACTTCATCCTCGGCGAGTACAAGCGCCGCTTCAGCAAAATCGGAAAGTTCCGAGCTGGTAGACTTAATAGCACAGATGAAGTCAATGCGCGAGGAGTTGGAGCACTATCGGGCCATGAGGGAGGAGGGTTTTTGATCCGGTCCGCGCTTCGTGCCGCACGCGTCAGACCGCGTAATAATAATCTGTACAATGTATTGGCGACTGCAAATGTGTACGAGTTGGACCACAGGTCCCAGCATTTCCACATCCTGGTGCGCCTCAAAGGCGAAAGACGGCACAAAGATATAGTTGCAATGGTGGACAGCGGAGCCACTACGAAGTTCATCAACAAGTGTTTCATCACGGAGAATCGAGTACGAACGCGGAAATTGAAAAAAACCAATTCCGCTTTACAATATCAATGGAACGCTCAATAAAGACGGAAGCATCTTGGAAGTAGCCGTGCTACAGATGCAAATAGGAGAACACGTCGAGAAGACGGTGTTTATGGTCACGGACATAGGTCGAGAAGATGTGATTGTCGGGTTGGATTGGCTGCGAGAGCACAACCCTGAAATCAATTGGGAGTCAGGATCCCTAAAATTATCACGATGTCCTGAGATGTGCAGTGCCAGGAAGACTGGCCAAATGGAGCAAGCAGCGACTGCGCGTGATACGGGGGACAGGCCCACGGCGCGCAGGCGTTTGCCGAAGTGCAAACGGTCGGTCATAGGCGCCTGCCGGAGCAAGGTGCTCCCGGACTTCGAACCCGAAGAAGATTCGGCGGAAGTAGAATGGGATGAGGCCGACTTGATCGAAGCCTGGGAGCAGGGTGTCACGCTTCCCGGCGCCCCTCAGCTGTTCGTCGCAGCAGTGTCACGACTTGGCACGGCGTCTAGCCGTTTTTTAATTTTTCCTTTTTGCAGGCTCGAACCCGCGACCTCTGTACTACTTGCCTGATATGGACACATCATATCTACTGTACGATTAGATTAGATAGGACGGCAGTGCACGGCACAGCTCGGGCTCCGCTGACACAGCCGTTCTGACTCACCGGCCCCCGGGGCCGCGTCGGCATGCTGTGCACGGACCAGCTGCGCACGGACCAACGCGCACAGCCTGCCCTTAACCTCCCCTGTATATAAGCCGGCCTCTGCTGCCCTAGGGACCTCAGTTTCGACCTCTTGTCCCTAGGTCAGTAAGCCTCCATTTGTATTCTTTCTTACCTTAACTAACTAATACATTTTCTTGTCCCTAGCCTTAGGTTTGAGCCTAGCTCACCATCGCTTCGGTAAGATCCAGTCGAACGCCCCCAGCATTTGGTTTTCCCCTGTCGCTCGACCCTAAGTTGCGACAAGCAGGGCACATGTATTCCCAGCTGTTCACTGAGGAAGAGATCAAGAAGAAGGTCGTCAAGACCGCCAAGGAGTCAGTGCCGAAACAGTACCACGAGTTTCTGAAGGTCTTCTCCAAAGAAGCGTCAGAATGGCTACCCGAAAGGAAGCCTTATGATCACGCAATCAAACTCGTACCCGGCTACTCGACATTCCACTCGAAGGTGTATCCCCTGTCGAACAACGAACAAGAGGAACTGGACAAGTTCCTAAAGGAGCAACTAGCGAAGGGCTACATACGGGAGTCGAAATCGCCCATTTCGTCCCCCTTCTTCTTCATCAAAAAGAAGGAAGGGACGCTTCGACCCGTGCAGGACTACCGCCGCTTGAACGCTATCACGGTCAAAAATCGCTACCCTTTACCGCTGATCGCCGAGATGGTAGATAAGCTCCGCGGCGCCACGCTCTTCACCAAGTTCGATGTCAGATGGGGATACAACAATGTCCGGATCAAAGCCGGTGACAAATGGAAGGCGGCCTTTGTGACTAACCGAGGGTTGTATGAGCCCTTGGTGATGTTCTTCGGCCTCACCAATTCCCCCGCGACCTTCCAGGCAATGATGAACGAGATCTTCCACGATCTCATCATCGGTGGCAAGATCCTCGTATACCTTGATGACATACTCATCTTCTCTACCAACAAGGAGGAGCACGAAAAAGTCACACGCGAGGTTCTTCGTCGCCTTCAGGACAACAATCTATTCCTGAAGCCTGAGAAGTGCGAATGGGACGTTCCCAAGGTCGACTACGTCGGCTATGTGTTCGGTGGCGATGAGGTAGCGATGGATCCCGCGAAGCTAAAAGGAATTAATGAGTGGCTGGTACCCCAGAACGAAAAGGATGTTCAGAAGTTCCAGGGGTTCTCCAATTTCTACAGCCGCTTCATTAAAGACTTTGCTAAGATCTCGCGACCACTCGACTGGCTCACAGGGAATGACCCGTGGCATTGGGGCGAAGAGGAGCAGCACGCCTTTGACAAGCTCAAGCGGCTCTTTGCGACGACTCCAGTCTTAGCGCTGTACGATCCTAATCGGGAGACGCGCATTGAGGTTGATGCCTCGGGCTACGCCACTGGCGGCGTATTGATGCAGGAGCAGGACAACAGCAAATGGCATCCCATCGCCTTCAGATCCCATGCGATGGATCCAGCACAGCAGAATTACGAGATCTACGATAAGGAAATGCTCGCGATCATTGAAGCACTGGACGACTGGCGCCACTATCTCGAGGGTCTGCCCAATCAGTTCGAGATCATCACCGATCATAAGAACCTCGAGTACTGGCGTACATCCCAGCATCTCACACGTCATCAAGCACAATGGTCGCTGTTCCTGGCTCACTTCGACTTCCACATCACGCACAAGGCCGGGACGTCCAATGGAAAGGCTGATGCCCTGTCGCGTCGATCAGACCATCAGATCGGCGATGAGGACGATAACACCGATCAGGTGCTTCTCAAGCCGGAGCGCTTCTGCATCGCCTCTGCCAGGCGTGGTCATGCTTCGGTAACGGCCGATCAGTCACTTCTAAAGCGCATCAGGGAATGTTCGGAGAAGGATCGGGAGGTGGCCAAGGCACTTGAAAAGGTGCAGGACCTCGGGCCGTCCCGGCTGCAAAGGGGTTTTGAGGAGTGGAATGCCGAACAAGGGCTTCTGCTGTTCCACGGATGCGTATACGTCCCAAAGGACGCAGAGCTTCGGCGGGATATCGTCAAGACCCACCACGACTTGCCGATCGCCGGTCATGGCGGCCGTGCCAAAACCCTGGAGCTCGTATCGCGGAACTACTGGTGGCCTGGGATGTCTAAATTCGTCAATGAGTACGTGAGCACCTGCGACGTGTGCAACTGTACCAAGACATTCCCCGCCAAACCCCAGGGTCCGCTGAGGCCGAATGAGATCCCCGAGTGCCCGTGGCAGATCATCACGACCGATATGATCGTCGGCTTGCCGAAATCTGATGGATTCGACTCGATCCGGGTCACCGCCGACCGCTTCACAAAGCAGGTCCACTTCTCCGCCTGTCATGAGACCCTGACGGCAGAAGGTGCGGCAGACCTGTACATCCGCAATGTGTTCAAGCATCATGGGGCCCCGGCCAAGGTCATATCAGACCGAGGTCCCCAGTTCGCTTCGAAATATCTCCATGCGGTGTACAAGGGACTGGGAATCGAGCCGGCGCTGTCCACAGCATTCCACCCTCAGACGGACGGCCAGACCGAACGCTGGAATCAGGAGGTCGAGCAGTACCTGCACACTTTCACAAGCCATAGGCAGGACAATTGGGCAAAGCAGTTGCCACTCGCGGAATTCGCATTGAACAATCAAGCTCACTCCGCGACCGGGCACTCCCCTTTCTTCCTGCATCAGGGGTACAATCCTGAGATCCAGGTTCGGATCAATCCGATGTCTGCAATGCCTGCGGCCGCTGATCGGCTTAAAATCCTGAAGGAGATTCGCGATGATACGCACTCTGCGCTCGAGCTGTCAGCCGAGTGTATGAAGGTGTACTACGATAAGCACATGCAGGATGCACCGGTCTTCGTGCCAGGGGACAAGGTCTGGCTTGATGCCTGGAACCTTAAGCTGAAACAGCTGAGCAAGAAGCTCAGTCCCAAGCGCCTTGGGCCTTATGCCGTGCGACGAAAGCTCGGAGACTTGGACTATGAATTAGTCCTGCCGAAATCGGTGCTGGTGCACCCGGTATTCCATGTCTCCTTGCTTAGCAAGTACACGTGTAGCGATATCCCGGGCCGGGAGCCGGAGGAACCGCCTGCGATCGAGGTTGAGGGCGATGAGGAGTACAAGGTTGAGCGGATCAAGGATTCAAGGATCTTCCAGCATCAACTACAGTACCTCGTCAAGTGGAAGGGTTATGACGACTCGCATACGTCGTGGGAACCGGCGCGCAACGTTGCCAATGCACCGGCCCTCATAGCCGACTTCCACCGGAAAAATCCGAATGCCCCTCGCCGCCTCAATGCTGCTACCTTTGGTGGTCCCAACTTCCAGCCGATGCCTTCGCTGCTGACTGAAGCACAATGCTGCTCCGGGTGGGAGATGGGCAAGGGCTCCTCGCATGAGGTCATGCGCCGTTGAGGGGGGGTAATGTCACGACTTGGCACGGCGCCTAGCCGTTTTTTAATTTTTTCCTTTTTGCAGGCTCGAACCCGCAACCTCTGTACTACCTGCCTGATATGGACACATCATATCTACTGTACAATTAGATTAGATAGGACGGCAGCGCACGGCACAGCTCGGGCTCTGCTGACACAGCCTCTCTGACTCACCAGCCCCCGGGGCCGCGTCGGCATGCTGTGCACAGACCAGCTGCGCACGGACCAGTGTGCACAGCCTCCCCTAAACATCCCCTGTATATAAGCCGGTGATAGGCGCCAAGCCCCTCTGGGCCCTGATTCACCTCTTTTCGGCAGTTGCATCCCGCCCGGCACTTCGACTCAGTCTCCCACCACTTCGATTTCGCCTTCGACACTCTTCGACACCTTCGACGGTGCGCGACACTTACTCGAAGCTCGGCACGGTCGTCCCGACGCCTTGTGCGTAGATCCCGGGACATCTTCCACATTCGGCGAACAATAGGGCCACTTGACGCCGCTCGGCCAAGCGCGCGCATCGCTCCAAGCCACACCGACGTAGCCGGTCTTTCCCGATTAAGTATCAAACCTTGCGACATGCCTTCACAACGGCTACCAGTCTGAAGTGGCCATGTGTTTCTCTTCATCTCCGCGTCTGGCATGACGTCACTCTACCAATGGACTTGGTATGTGCCCCTCGGTGAGGCAGCTTCTTGAGGAACAATGCAAAGCCCCTTGTACCAGTGTGCCACTTTCGATAGTCGTAGCATCCTGTGTAGTATAAATTCTGTCGTACTTCTCCAAAAATAACAAGATCCGGTTCCCCCCTCGAGTTCAGAGCTCATAAGTCGAGTTCGCCCCGCGTCTAAGCTTTCAACTGCGTCACTTCGTCCCTCGCTGCGTAACTTCGAAACCTCGTCCACTGCGTTTACTCGTCGATACCGTCTCGACAAACCCTTCGACTTCGACTATTGTCGAAGAAACTACGAACCGCGTCCTAGCTAAGTCCACCCTAACAAGTCGTGTCCCTTCCTTCTACGATACATCGAAGAGCTCTGCCGAGCTTCGATCGTCGCTAACTTTCCACAGCCTCCAAGTAGCTTCGACGACGTGTCGAAGCCACCTCATACCTTCCCCGTTGTTTGTAATCTTTGCCAAGGGCGTTTCTCGTGTTCACTCGAACCGCGGGACACCTTGCTGCTAACTCCCCTCTCACTAAGACTATAATCTGTCTCTCTAGTCCCTTTAGGTCGCACCTAGGTTAGGGGTTAGGGTTTCATAGGTCGTATCATTTCTGGAGCCCACCGCGAGGGGATCTCAGGCAAGAATTCGCCGCTTTCGGGTTTCCGAAAACGTCTCCAGTAGTCACCCACTCACAAGCGCGTGAGGCTGCTAGCCGCAGCGCCGCTGAAAACCTCGACAGCTCCTCTAGAACGCAATCGACTCCCTCTCCAACAATCCCCGGTGACTTCGACCGCGACGAAGAAGACGAGATAGACCAAGAACTCCAAGACGACTTCGACAAAGAACCGATCCCTTCAATTGCCGAAGAACGCACTTCGTCCCCCGAGCTTCTAGGCCTCAATACTTCTGACTACGACACTTCGACTCCTGATCTTTTCGAACAATCCGGTTCTTCGCCCGAACCCGAGGATCCCATCCCATCTACTTCGAATCTCGAACTCCCAACTCTGTTGTCTTTTTGCGCCCACGCTCAGCCGCCCATCACATCCTCTTCGCGACTTTCAATCATACCTTCATCCGACCTGGCACCTCCGCCACCATTAACACCTTCGAACGCAGCTTCGAACTCCAACCCCGCACCGCCCGCTCCTACGATTCCTTCGACTACTACCACGTCCTCTTCGAGCCCAGCTCCTATCAACACTACGAACATGAGCCAGAACACGAACACACCGTTGATGCCCCCGCGCGGTCATGCGACAGCACCAAGCTTCAACCTATCGGAAGTCCGTTCGCTTCAGCGTTACTTCCAGGACCTCGAAGCATTGTTCACCCGGTGTCAGATTACCGACGAAGCAGCCAAGAAACAGTGGGCCGTTTGGTATCCTTCGATCGACGTCGCCGACTTATGAGAAACCATCGAGTTCTTCATTGACGTAGCCAAGAGCTACAACGACTGGAAAGCCGACGTACGAGCACTCTATCCTGGCGCCAACGATACAAGAAAGTGGTCGCTGGCGGACATGGACCAGCTCATTGGAGAACGCGCTCGTATCGGGATTCACAATGCGGCAGACCTAGGCTGCTATTACCGCGACTTCATGGCCATTACAAAACATCTCATCGCACAGCACTGGCTCTCCCCTATCGAACAAAGTCGCGCATTTCTTCGAGGTTTCCAGCCAGCGTTGCTCACACGGCTCGAGACCCGACTGCATCTCAAGCACCCCGATCACTACGCCGACGACCCATACACCATGGCAGAGATTCACGCGGCGGCTACTTTCATTCTACACGGTACATTGAGCACACCTACGACAGCGGCTAACCAAGCTACCGCTTCGACATCGAGCACTTCGACAACGGTGCCTCCCGGGATGATCAAAACCGAAGACATCTCGATGATCATCGAAAGCCTGTCGAGGACGATCGCAACACTCATTCAGCCGACGACGCACGCTATGCACAACCACGCCCCCGCACCGAGACAACAAGCTGCCGTCCACGTCCATGAGAACAGCAGAGCAGAACAGATGTGCCATTACTGCGGCAATCATGGCTGCAGGGTAGGCACCTGCGAGTTCACGGAGATCGACATCCGGGACGGCAAGTGCAAGCGTAACACCGACGGAAAGATCGTCCTTCCGAACGGAAGTTTCTGCCTCTGCACTATCCCTGGTCTCACAATACGAGATCGAATCTACGAGTGGCATAGAAGAAATCCCGCAGCACCCGCCGCTCCGACGATGCTCTTTGAGATCGATGATCGCTCGACTATGCAAACCTTCACGCTCAACACCAGCAGCAGGATCGAGGCGCTCGAGCGAGAACTCCTTCAGCTTCGGAAGCGAAGGGAGGTCTTCGATGGCGTCGAGATTCTATAGTGGAAGAAGCCCACGACGCCAGCCGTCCCGAAGAGCACGGAAGCCTCGGGATCTGGTACATCGAAAGGAGTGGCGGTGCCCCCGAGCACTTCGACAAGCACGGCCCTGCCTTCGACGATACCAGCAGCACCACCCGCGTCGTCTTCTACCCCGCCTACGCAATCCACATCTCGACCTACTACTACGTCCGCTCCTCCAGCACCACCAGTACACCCCTTCGCAAACGCGCGCGACGCAACCTACGCCCCACCGAACGTTCGAAACTTCGCAACTCCGCCAAAGCCCTCAAACGACAAGGGCAAGGAACCAGCGTACAAGACCATCATCCCCGTTATCCAGCCGAAGCTCGCCGAAGAGATCTTCCAGCGTTTGATGAAGTCGCCGTTCGTCACGCTGACCCCAGAAGAGTTGCTGTCAATCGCGCCCGACGTTCGAAACAAGTACCGCGACGCCGTCACCCCTAAGCGAGTCTCGACGGAACCCGTTGCGTTGGCCCACATCGTAGAAATCGGCGCTGACGAGGTCACAGCCGTCAACCAGCTCTCGTGTTCAGGTGCAACGTTGGAACCTGGTGCTACAATCGTACCCAACCCCTATGAAACCTATCTGAAGCACATCCCTCACGGCGAGCACCCCGCAGAATTCACCGTTGCCCGTGATTCGAATGCGATTCGTTCGATCATCGCGTTGATCGACAACAAAGAGCAGATCGAATGCATCGTCGACCCAGGATCACAGATCGCCACCATGTCGGAAGAGGTCTGTCTGGGCCTCAACCTCCTCTTCGATCCTACTATCCAGTTGAACATGCAATCGGCGAACGGCGAGGTGGACTGATCGTTGGGACTCATTCGAAATGTTCCCTTCCGCATCGGTGAGATCGTATTGTATCTCCAGGCTCACGTCATTCGAAACGCAGCATACGACATCCTCCTCGGCCGATCCTTCGACGTGCTCACGCAAAGCGTCATCAAGTAAC